GGCGACGTTGTCCTCACTGGGCACTCGGACGCTTCTTGGGTTAAGGACCAGGCTACGCAGCGGTCGTCACAGGGTTACACCTTCAGCCTTGGCTCTGGCTCTGTTTCTTGGCGGTCTACACGCTCGTCCTCTGTTCTCGGCTCCAGTTGTGAGGCTGAGATCTACGCCACAGCCATGGCTGCACAGGAGTTACGCTGGCTCACCTACCTGCTGACCGACTTGGGAGAGAGGCCTCGTTCTCCTCCAGTGCTGTACGTCGACAACAAGGCCGCCATTGCCTTGTGTCAGGAGCACAGACTGGAGCACAGAACGAAGCACATCGCTCTGCGTTACTTCCTGGCTCGAGAGTTGCAGCAGCGTGGTCAGCTTCGTCTTGCTCACGTGGCCACTCGGGCCAACACTGCTGATATATTCACCAAGGCGCTTCCGTCTGGTGATCATTAGCGTTTCTGCACTCTGTTAGGCCTTGTGCCCACGTTTCCTCACTTGTTGTAGACTTTGCTTGTACTGTGATCTATATATATACCTGCATGCTTGCTCTGCTAGGTAGAGATCACTGTGCTGTTGTTGTTGCATATATTTTTTCTCTGCATGTGAACTGGCCTTGTGGCCCTTTGCTTGTGCTCAGTGTGTGTGGTGACGTTGTGATCCACCCTGAGCTTGCTTTGGTTCTCTTGACTGGTCTTGTGACCCCTTGCTCTCCCCCACTTTGCCTATGGGGGTGTGTCAAAGCATATGCATGTTATACATGTGTAGGCTGTAGTGGGGTAGCCAATATGGGGTACAGCCTTCACATTGTTCTTCACAGCAAGCTTCTGACCGCGGAAGGCGCTGGCGGAGATGGAGGCGGACACAGCGAGGGCGGCCATTGTTGTTGTGTGAAGGTAAGAATCGGCTTGGGCGGACGCGCGGGGCTGCAGCTCGACGAGCGGGCAGCGGACGCGACGCGCGGGGCCGCAGCAAGCAGCGCGGGCTGCGGACGCGGCGCGCGGAGCAGCAGCGAGCCACGCGCGGGCTGCCGAGGCGCGACTCGGGCAGCTTGGGCGACGCGCGGGGCAAAAAACCGGGCCGCGCGCAGGAATCAGGTCTGCGCGCTCTAAGCAGCAGCAGACCGCGTAGTCAGCAGACAGCAGGCAGCAGGCAGACGGCGCGTGCAGCGCAGCACGTCACAGGCACAGTCACAGTCACAGTCGTGGGGTAGCAGTAGGTGGGCCCGAAAAAAAAAACGGTCCTACGGACCTACTGCTCTGAAACCATGTCAGAATCTAGAGACAGGAATGAATCAACTATGAAAGAGTTGGGTACAAGTATGAAACCCTAAAAGGTGTCAGAATAGGAACGAAGGAGTGGGGCCTAGGCTTAGTAGCCTAGGCCACAGTGAGACTAAGGTTGTGCCAAGCAGGATCGAGAATGATAGAAACAGAATGGAATGATTGCACTAGCAGGCAGGTTGGTACAAATAGGAAACCCTAAAGGGCTGTACTCACTATTGAGTACCCCACTGCAGGCTAGACAAATAACATATTCTGACACACCCCCATAGTCAAAGTGGGGTATAATCAGCACAGCAAAAAGTCATAGAATAAGTCACAAGCACAACCAGAGCTAGAGGCAGTCACAGAGGGCAAGTGAGGAGGAGGAGGGACTATGAGAGGAGAGGAGATTGGAGGCGACGGCTGAAGCTGCAGATACACGGGCGACAGGAGCGGCTGGCACAGTGGCTACCGGGACAGCGCCCCGGAATACTGGAGTAACTGGCACTGCGGCTAACTCTGAGCGGCAGGAGCAACGGACCCACGGGCGACAGGCGCAGCAGGCTTTCTGGGCTACCAGCGGCAGAGCCCCGGACTACAGGTGCTGCGGACGACAAGACGGCAGCCTCCGCTCAACCTCCCCCAACTGTCCCACCCCCCTTTCACACACCCCTTGCTGTACCCCTAGCTCCACACCCACGTCACCCCCCTAGTGCCACTCCCCTCGGCTCCCACACATCCACCCCCCTCAGCGGCAGCTGCAGCAGTGGGAGACGGAGGAGGAGGAGAAGGAAGGGATGACGCACACGTATCACCCCCACACCCGCCACCCCCACACCCTCCTGTCCAGGGGACGGGGGGGAGGGGGGGGTAGCCGCGCGTGCAGGGCAACAGCGCGGAGCAGGGCAGGCAGCCGCGCGTGCAGGGCAACAGCGCGGAGCAGGGCAGGCAGGCCGCGTGTGCAGGGCAACAGCGCGGAGCAGGGCAGGTACACGGGGGCAGCTGCTCGAGGGCAGGCGCGGGTGAGGCAGGGGCGACTGCACGGAGTCCAGGCGCGGGGGCGGCTGCTCGAAGGCAGGCGCGAGGTGAGGTAGGGGCGGCTGCACCGAGTGCAGGCGCGTCGCGGGATCCAGGGGCGGCTGCACGGGGTCCAGGGGCGGCGTCGCGGGTTCCAGGGGCGGCTGCACCAGGGGCGGCTGCTTCAGGGGCCAGGGGCGACTGCTCTGGGTCCAGGGGCGGCTGCTCAAGGGTCCAGGGGCGGCTGCACCAGGGGCGGCAGCTGCAGGGTCCAGGGGCGGCTGCTCCAGGGGCGGCGTCGCTGATGCAGGGCAGCGCGCGGGTCCCACAGGCGCCGCGACGGGCGATGGGGGGCAGCGCGCAGGCCCTCCGAGGGCGCCGCGACGGGCGACGGAAAGGCCGCGCGCGTGCCCTCGGAGCGTGTGGCGGGAAGAAAATGACACGTCGCGCACCACGGGGCGCGCGACAGTCAGAACGACAGCGGAAGCAGTTGGTGGGCCCGTTGAGGAAGGCGGTAGGAACATACTCGCTCTAGATACCATGTCAGAATAGGAACGAAGGAGTGGGGCCTAGGCTTAGTAGCCTAGGCCACAGTGAGACTAGAAGGTTGTGCCAAGCAGGATCGAGAATGATAGAAACAGAATGGAATGATTGCACTAGCAGGCAGGTTGGTACAAATAGGAAACCCTAAAGGGCTGTACTCACTATTGAGTACCCCACTGCAGGCTAGACAAATAACATATTCTGACAAAAGAGGCTGTACCCCATATTGGCTACCCCACTACAGCCTACACATATATAACATGCATATACTTTGACAATAGGCTGTAGTGAGGTGCCTTCCAGGGGGGACAACTTTTAGGTTTGCATATTTGTACCCCATCCAATTTCTAGTTCACACATTCCGTTGTGCATGCTTCTTAAGAGTAAGGGCGTGTAACATTTTCCCCTTTTGCCCGTCCGGACCTTCGTTAGAACCTGTACAACGTCGTTAACGATCGGACCGTTGATGAACCATTTTGCATATTTTGCCCTCCCAAATCGTCCAGACGTATATCGTTCGATAAACTGACGGACGTAATAGTAACGCGCTTTTACTGGCCGACGATTACGACTCGGCGAGTCGCTTGGATGTTACCTATCTCGTGATGGCGTCGTTGGTCTGGTTACACTCTCGTTAGTATTCTTATAATTCGTAAGTGTGAAGAAGTGTCATAAACAACGTCCGGACGAGGCTCAGTCCGGACGTTGGACTCGGACCGTCCGATATTTCATATCCGAACCGTTCACTGACGGTTGTCCGGACTTTGACCTCATCTAGAAAATCTTACACGCCCTAAACACGTGTCCGGTGCACTTTAGTTGGGCAAACTTAGACGTCTGGACATCTCTGGGAACGCCAATTGACGCACATGTGGGAACGCTGTATAATCCCAAGTCATAACTCCGTTTTCACAATATCAATTGAACATGAACGACGCTATGGATCATCCCATACCGCCCTAATAATCCAACCGTCCATTCAGTCAAAGATATGCGGTGCTCACATGCCTTTCCAGAGAACACATTTCCACAGTCCAATGCACCAGAATGTTTGCTTTTCCAGCAGGCTGGCCTCGGCTCACCAACCTCGGTGCTACTGTTCCTCGCGGAAAGGCAGGATGCATCTCCCCTTCCCTCCCACCAAGTGAACTGTATTCCCCCTCCTATTTACAGCAGTCCTTACAGTATATAACCTTAACCTTAACCCTCCTATTTACAGCAGAAATATTTCCCGCGCGCGCGGCCTCACAACCCAAATGCGGTGTGCTACTGTACCATTCCGCCACGACCCCAGCGCCTTCGCTCCCCCTCCCCCGGTCCCCCTCCCCCCGCTACACCTCAGTGAACCAATCAGTCCATCATCCCACAGCAACCATGGCAGCCATGACGAGTGGCGAGGCGAGTGCTTGCTTTCACTCACATCATGTGCACACGTCCTCCTCTCATCTCCTCCACCACCCACCTCCGCTCCCCGTCCTGTTCTATGAGCAAGTTCAAGCTTGACTACCTCCCTAATTAGACCGCTCCGTCTTTGCAGTGCGTGGCCTTCATTGTCCTGTCCACAGGGATCTAACAACGTCCCGTCAGTTCTCATCTACGTAAGGGGACAGGCTTTGTACAACACAGCGTGCAGTTGCTGCGAGCCTGAGGTTATCGCTTTTGGACATTAACAGTGCGTATATGTGTCCGTTTCGTCCTAAGGATATCTTCAGACGGACGTAAAGACGATCGAGTGGGTGGCCAAAGTCGCACTAGCCCGCCTCTCTCCGATGTCCGTGCGCCTCGAACGACGTTCCCAGCACCATAGTGCCAGTGTTATCCCTGTAGGCCATGCAAACCAGCATTTTAACCGCACGCGCCGAATGTGGCCTGGTGCGTTTCGGCTTCACCGCTAGCCGCTTGACCTCACCGGCTTCCCTGCAATGGCAGTGCGTTAACTCCACATTGCTCCGTCAGGGCAGCTAGATTGCCGGCTCGCGCCCCACATTGCGCGTCCGGACGTGTGGCATGGCTGCCAGCTGGCGTCCACGTCATCATATTCAGACGGTGACGAAGCCGACGTCTTGTGCTGCTGTCTCTGCCTAGTCCCTTTTCATCTGCTCCTCGTTTCTCCATTATTCCGGCGTTGCTTAACGACGGGGAACAGGAAACCGACGAGGACCGATGGCGAATGCAGGCGAGAGTACGATGAAAGAAGGATCGGCTCGTAGATTAGCGGAGCGCAGGGGGAGTGGTGGTATGGCGGGTGGCGCGGAGAGCAGCAGAGGCGCTGTCAGCGCCGCTGCTAACGGGCTTATCGATGGGCATGCGAAGGCTTCGGAGACTAGCAAACGCGCCGACGAGTTGGCAAGCGACGGCAGCAACAGCAACGGCGACGGTAGCGGTCGTAACACCGACATCGATACCGCAAGCACCAGCAGCGGCGACAGCGGTATCAAGGGCAAGGCGCGGGATCAAGGCGGAAGGCAGTCGGGCGCAGGCCCCGCCTTCCGCCCAAACCAGCAACTCCCCATGCCCACACTCAACCGCGCCCGCTTCGGCCTTCCCGCCATCTGCCTCGACCTCGCCGTGCTCCCCAGTGGCTCCGCCGGCAGCCCGAGCAGCGGCAGCAAGGCGGCGCATGCGCGCGCGGGCGCGGACGGGCGGTTTGCGCGGAGCGCGAGCAGCGGAAGCAACACGGAGGAGGAGACGGGGGAGATCGTGGGGACGGAGGAGGAGCCGATGGACGTGCGCGCGCGCAAGCAGAAGTTTCTCTTCTTCGAGAAGGAGTGCTCGCAGATCATGGCGCACGTGTTCGTCGGTAGCGACGCCGTCGCGCGCGATAGAGAGATCCTGCGCAAGTCGGGCATCACGCACGTGCTCAACTGCGTGGGCTTCGTGTGCCCCGAGTACTTCCCCGGCGACATCACGTACAAGACGCTCTGGTTGCAGGTGTGCCTCCGCTGCTGCCTTGTTCGCCTTCCTCCCGTGCCCTCGCCGCGTAACCGCCGCCCCATCTGACGGAATAGTTGTTGCTGATTGTCCGTTTTTTTTTTTTTTTGGCGGCGGGTCGTGGAAGAGGTGGGCGCGGGCAAGTAAAACCCCGATTACTAAGATACGACGGGCATTTCGCTCCGTCTGCGTTGTCTGTCCAGCTCACTGGACGCGCAGCTGCGTGCGTGCCCAAAATCGAAGCGACGTGACATCTGTACGCTGTCGCGTGGCAACGTCACGCTCGCGCGCGCTGCATTCCGCTGCTCCACCGGCCCCGTCTTGCTCTCCCTACTCCCCCCTCTTCTGCTCTCCCCTATGCTCTCCCCCCCTTGTGCTTCCCCCATCCGCCCCCTCAACCGCCGTGCCCCGTTCCCCCTTCCCCAGGACAAGACACCGCAAATTATAAAGCGCGTGCGACTGTCGAGTCGACTCAAAACTCCCCCATTCCCCTCCCCTCCGCCCCCCTGCGCCCATGTCCACCCCCGCGGCCCAGAACAACACGTCAGAGGACATAGGGTGCGTGCAACTCTCAAATCGACTCAAAACCCCCCATCCCTTCCTTCCCCCCATTCCCCCCATGTCCACCCCACCATCCCCCCCCCCTCTCCCCCCCCCTCCCCCCAGGACAACACGTCGGAGGACATATCGTGCGTGCTGTACGACGTGTTCGACTTCATCGAGGTGGTGCGCCAGGAGGCGGGCCGCGTCTTCGTGCACTGCTGCCAGGGCGTCTCGCGCTCCACCTCGCTCGTCATCGCGTACCTCATGTGGACCGAGGTATGCCGCCTCTGCCCTCCCCTGCCCTGCCATGCCGTCCCTTGCCCTGCCCTGCCCTTGCTGCCCTGCGCTGCTCTGCCATGCCACGACGTGCCATGCCAATTCAGGCAATGCCACACCATGCCACGCCATGAGACGCAATGGCGTGCATGCATGCCGTGGCACCTGCCCATCCCATCGCATGTCACGCCATCGCTATGCGATCCCATACGATCCCATGCGCATGCCGCGCGCCATGACACTCTATGTCGCGTCATGCTGCCATTGCGCCAACTGCTGGACGAGGTGGTGTGCTAGAGACTGGGGGCATGCACCCGTTCGTAATGGCGAGAGGCTAAAATGATCTCCACTCGTTCCTAATGCGCGTCACGCGTGACTTTATGGCGTAAGCATACGCGCGCTGCTGCTGACGCGCCACCGCTCATCTCGTCTGGCCGCTCGCCGTCTTGCCCTCGCCCCCTTTCCGTTCGGGTCCCTCGCCCTTCTTCAAACCCGTCAACTCTCCCTTCTTCCCCCTCCCCACCCTCTTTTCCCCGCCCGTTCACCCCCCTTTTTCCTTCCTCCACCCTTCCCCTCCGCCTCTCCCCGTCCCCCGTCGTCGCCCTCCGCGCGCGCGCTTCGGCGAGCGCAGAAGCGCGGGTTCGAGGACGCGTTCCGGTTCGTGAAGGCGATTCGCGGAGTGGCGAGTCCCAACATGGGCTTCGCGTGCCAGCTGCTGCAGTGGCAGGAGCGCGTTCTGCCGCTCTCCGCGCTCCCCCCCGCGCACCAGGCGCTTCTAGACGACGCTGACGACCCCTCGGGGGGCAGCAGGCAGGACGTTGACAGTCAGACAGCGAAGGAGGAGCAAGAGAGGGAGAGGGAGAGGGAACGGGAGAGGGTGCGGGAGCGGGAGAGCGTGGTGCGCGTGTATCGCATGGCACCACACTCGCCATACGATGGTGTGCATCTGGTGCCCAAGGCCATGATGGAAGTGGGGCCCCGCTGCCTCGACCCACGCGGAGCCTTCGTCGTCCAGGTGTGTGCCTCTCGCTCTCTCCCACTCTCCCTCTCCCTCTCCCTCTCTCTTTCCCTCGCCCGCTTCCCTGCGCTCTGCTTCTGAAGTTCCACCATGGCTGTTCTTCTGTGCGCCTCTCGTTCACGCCTGCCCCAGCGCCCTACCTTTTCCCCCTTTCACCTCGGGCCCAGCCCTCCCTCGTCAATCATCCCTCGCTTTTCGTCAGCCGTCAGCTTTGTCACCTCCCTTTTCGACTTCCCTTCCCGCCCTCTCTTCCTCCCTTCAAACCCCATCTACCCGCCGGGCGTCCCCCCTAATCCCCTTCTCCCGTTCTCCCGCGCCCTCCCTCCGCTCTCCTTCCCCTGCCACTCCGCCTGCACTCCTCATCTCCTCCCCCCCATTCCCTCCCCCTCCCCCCCATGCCCTCCCCTCTCCCCCTCCCCCTCCCCCTCCCCCTCCCCCTCCCCCTCCCCCTCCCCCTCCCCCTCCCCCTCCCCCTCCCCCTTCCCCGCACCCGCGCCCGCGCCCGTTCCGCAGGTGGGTCGCACTGTGTACACGTGGAAGGGCAGCCAGTGCCACCCGCTCATGGCGGAGCAGGCGGAACGGGCAGCGCGCCAGCTCGTCACATACGAGGGCCTCTCCCCCCACTCCCCCTCCCCCGTGCTGCAAGGCGCGGAGCCCGCGCCCCTCCTCTCCGCGCTACACTCCCACGCCTCCCGCGCTGGCAGGCGGGCGGGCGCGGGCGGCAGCGGGGGCGGCAGCAGCAGCAGTGAGTGGGCGGCGGTGATAGAGAGAGAGGGGCTCACGTATATGGGGCAGGACGCGCATATGCTTGCGGGCGCGGGGAGCAAGTCTCTTGCTGTCAAACCCACGATTCCCAAGCTGGCCTCGATCCCTGGGAGTCAGAGTGCTAGGAATAGCAGCAGCGGCAGCAGTGGCAGCTGTAGTAATAGCAGCAGTAGTAGTAGCGGCAGTAGTGGCAGCAACGGCAGCAGCGGGAGTAGTGGGAGTAGTGGGAGTAGTGGGAGTAGCGGGAGTAGCGGGAGTAGCGGGAGTAGTGGGAGTAGCGGGAGTAGTGGGAGTAGTGGGAGTGGGAGTAGCAGCAGCAGCAGCGGGGATGCGGCGGGGTGGGGGCCAGTGGCGGAGCAGCAGAGCGAGTACGACTATGACTACGAGTGCTTCCTCAGGGCGCTCGAGGGCGGCACGCCCAAGCCCATCGCGGGCCTCGCATCCCCCAACGCCAAGGTGCTTCCGCACCACGGCAGGGGGTGGCTGGGCGCCACGCTCGATGACTGCTGGGGCGCACTCGCTGCAGGGGCGGGGGCAGGGGGAGGGGTTGGGGAGGGTGAGAGTGGGGGTGGCGGAGACGGCAGTGAGGGTTCCGCCATTCGTCTGCACAGCCGGTCGTTCTCCGTTGGGCACGCCACCCTCCCCTCACTGTTCCCTGTTCCGCCTGCCTCCGCCTCCGCCTCCGCCGCCTCTGCCTCATCCAAGCCTGCTAAACCAGGCGCGCTGTCCCTGGGCGCAGACTCAGGGGGGGGAGGAGGCGGATCTGCCTCGAACAAGCTCCTCTTCGCGCCTGTGCTGCGCAAGCCTCTGCCGTCGCTGCCGTCGCCGTCGTCCTTCTCCCCGCGCTCCCTGGGCTTCTTCCCGCCCTTGGGCGTGGGCGCGTACGGGGCAGCGCTGCAGAAGTATAGCCCGGAGAAGAAGGGCGAGGGGGGTGGTGCCGGTGCTGCTGCAGGGGCAGCAGGGGCAGCAGGCACGTCCGCGGGCAGTGGAGGCAGCAGCAGCAGTAGTGGTGGCAGCAGCGGGAGCAGCAGCAGCGGCAGCAGCAGCAGCAGCAGCAGCAGCAGCAGCAGCAGCGGTAGTGGTCAAGCGTCATCTAGGCTGGGGGGCGCAGGGAAGGCCCCGCGAGGCAGCAGGCTGCAAATGTCCACAGGGGGGCTCGCAGGCTTGCAGGGCACGGGCGGGACGAGTGGCGCAGGCGATGGGGACGGGTTGGCGGGCGGGCAGGTGGGCGCGGAAGAGAGAGGGGGGGGGGAAGCGGAGGTGCACGCGCTGGGCGGATCCGCGCTGAATGACATGGATACGGCCGCAGTGCAGGGGGCGGGGATGGGGGCGGAGGAAGAGGAGGCGAGTTCAGGGAGCGGGGGTGGTGTTGGGAGGGTGTCGAAGGGGGGAGGGGAAGCGGGCAGCTGGATGCTGTCTCCACGTGGGCCTAGGAACACGCCCAGCAAGCCGTGGGAGGCAGAGGAGGCAGGGCAGGGAGCAGCAGTGCAGGAGGAGCGGAGAGAGAGGGAGGCACGGACACGAGGAAACCGAGGAGAGGGGTCAGGGACTCGGGAGCGATCCGGTGCTGCTTCTGCTCGCCCGCTCCCTCCTAAGCCTTCTCTGCCGTCTGGCACGGCCTCAGCAGGCAATGCAGTTCCCTCCACTGCCTCCTCCTCTGGCGCTTCCCGTGCCACCCTCCCCTCCAAAGGCCGCTCCGCATCCCCTCTGCGCCCCCCCCGCCCCCAGCAAACCACTGGTGCTGCTGCTGCCCCCAGAGGAGGGGGAAGAGGGGTCGGTGTGGGTGGGATGGCTGATGGGTTCATGGATGGCGGAGGGGGAGGGGAGGAAGAGGATGATGAGGAGGGGAGTGGGGATGGGGGTGGGAGGGATATGTATGGAGCGCTGCTGACGCCTAGAAGGAAACCTCCGGTGTCGGCCTTTGGAAGGGAGAGGGGGGCGCGGAAAGGGAGAGAGGGAGGGGAGGGAAGTGGGAGGAGAGGGCGAGGGGGGTCAGATGAGGACAAGTGGGGAGGTGATGGGGGGGAGAAGGGGGTTGGGGGCGGGAGCTTTGGTGGGGAGGATGGTGGATTTGGTGTTCCTGGGATGGAAGATGACGGGGAGAGTGGGGGGGTGGGGAGTGATGATGAGAGTGGTGGCGGAATGGCGTTCAATCTGCCAACGCCTAGGAGGGGTGGGCCGCAGATAAAAAAGATTTTTTGAAAATCGATGGAGCATGGGAACGAGGAGGAAGGGCAAGAACAGAAGAAGCCTCTTTTTATTTTATGCAGGACAAGTGTGCTGAGGTATGGAGGGTGCTTTTTAGAGGTGTTGTGAGCCGTAGAGGGAGCAGCAGCAGCAGCGAGGTGCTGTGGTGTTAGATAGCCGTGCGTGCAGGTAAGCAAGCGAGAGTCTAGGCAGCACAAGGGGGGCCGTGCACACAAGCACATGGAGCAGAGGGGATGGGGCGAATTCCAGAAGTAAAGATAACAGTGGAGATTCTACGGTATCATCTACGACCCCCAAGGGAGAGCCCAGTGGTGGTTGGTGGTGCAAAGGAGTGTGTGCTGGGGTGGGGGAACCCAAGTGCATACGGTAGCATGGGTGATTTGTGCAGAGCAATTGCTCGCGTATGAGTACCGGTAGCTTGGTTGGTGTGTACTGGTCATAGACCTGCTCTGCATGTGTTAGGTATTTATATGGGATTGGTTGGTGTCCTCCTTTAGCTTGTTTGTTAGTATAATATCAGCTTTTTTTTCAACAGGCCCTGCGTGTACCTGCCTGGTGTTTTTTAGTAGTCAGATGAATGAAACCAATGAGGTGTTGCAAATGACGATGACTAGTCTGATTGCCTTGTGCCATTCTTGGATATCATCATGCCAGACTGGGTGGGAGCAATAATCCACCACACTGCCCTAGTCATTCCCGTCAGGTATGAGTGCTAGAGGGGGCGAGGGGGGGGGTGTTTAGCCCAATATTTACTTTTACTGTCTCGTTGTTTATCTCATGTTTTATTTACAAAACCCCAATTGCCCAATGTAAATAAGCACAAGTTGGCTTGTTACCCAATGAAACCATATGATCTCACCACCACATTCAGCTACTCATTTCGCTTCGCCAGCCATCTTCACCAATACCACAGCACAGTACCACAGTTAAAGCTGAAGTATACATTTGAAAGGAGGGGTTCAAAATCCTTAGAAATTGCTGTACCACATTACCACTTGTACCGGTAACGAGCTTCCTCTACTCTCTCAAGACAGCTAGGTAGCACCAGGCTTGTTAAGCCCCCGGAGCATCATGGCAGCACGCACAACCACCCACTTCTTCTTGCCCTGCAGCACCGGGTACGGCATCATGGGCATCTCCACATCCCCCTGCACCTCCAGCTCCTTCTGGATAAGCGCAGCCCTCGCCTCCTCTCCCAGCTCCACTCCCTCACTCCTCACACTCCGCACACTCACCCCACTATCCACTGCGGCCACTGCATCAGCTGCTGCTGCGGCTGCGTCTGCTCCTGTAACCGAATCGAAGGAGGAGGCTGCGAGGTGTGCGAGGTGCGCGGCGCGCTTGCGCACGGACTGCTGCACAAACTCGACAAAGAACTGAGGGAACCCGGGGATGCGCTCGTACCCAGGCATGTAGTTGATGTCCACCACGTAGTACCTGCATGCAACCACAAGACGTGCCCGATCAATACACAACACGGCAAACGCGAGTAGAATGCAAGGAAAGCCGAACACGGTGCAGGAAAACCTGCAGCTTTAAGCTGATTGTGTGCAAGAAGCACCTAGCAGAAGACAAGGACAAGGCAACCTCATGTACACAGAATTGCACCTGCCATAGAGTCTTCCTCCCAGCCTCTCTAACCCCTGAGCTGACCTGTCATCGTGGCCGCCTTGTCTTAGAATGTCCACGTTGAAAGCATGCAGGCGCAGGTGCTTGCGCAGCGTGAGTCCAACATGGTGCATGAGGGCGGGCGGGGGGTCGGTGACCCTGGTGTCCTGCAGCTCCTCCTCACTCATGTGCACGTTGGAGATGCGGTTGAACTCCACCACGCCCACGCCCTGCACGCACCATAGACCATACACGCATGCACCACATGCCATCCATGCACGCACCACACAACGTGCACGCACCACACAACGTGCACGCACCACACAACGTGCACACACCACATGCCATACGGGGCCAAGAGGTGGAAGAATGAGCCCGGCTGCATGCACTTAGCAATGCTTGTGAGTCATGGCCAGTGTGGGTGCAGATTGCAGATAATGCACTGAGGATTTCCAAGGAGTAAAGCATGCGAGTGAGTGAGTGAGAGGGTGAGTGGGTGGGTGAAAACCGTTGGCTACTAGGTCAAAGGAATCAGATGAAACGAGTTTTGAGCAAAAAGAAAAAGGCACAGCGGTCCCTCCCACATAGGCCGCATTTCCTTCCCTTCTCTCCCCCTTCCCCCCCCCCCCCCATTCATCAGACACATTCTACCAGTTAGGAAAACTGTAACTGCTTTAAACGATTGGAAGCGACGCAACTCAAGAAGAAGCCATGGAATTAGGGTTCCCACCACTGACCTTGCGCAGAAAGTCCCATTTCCCTGCCTTGGGGCTCGGGACCTCCATGGGAGGCGGCGGCACGTCAGCATCGTCCGCAGCAGCAGCAGCAGCCCAGAGTTCAGGCGGCGGGATATCAGGCAGGGACTGGCGGCGGAAGACCATAATCTTGTCGCCCAGCACGTAGAGCTTGAAGAGGATGCCGCCGTGGTTCACAAACTCCTGCAGCAGCACGGGCGTGTGCACCTGCAGCAGCGACTGCTCGTCCAGCACGAGCCCCAGCGTGTGCGAGCTCGTCGTGCCGTTCGCCTCCAGGGGCTTCGCTACTGCCGGCAGGGAGAAACCCGCATCTGACAGCAGGACGAAGGGGGGAAAAGTGGGAAAAAGGGGGGGGGAGAGGGAGGAAACGGGGGGCGGGCAGGAGAGGCAGGGGGGGGGCACATGCACAGAAATGCGAGACCGGCGTGAGGGTGGGGAAATCCTGTGGTTTAGTTTCAGCCCATGTCCTTTCATGACCTTTGCTGACCCTCATGTCCTTCATGCTTGTCTTCACAAACCGAGTATTCCGCGCAACGCAACCGCAGGTGCGCTGGGGCGAGGGAGAAACCTCAACCAGTTACTGCCACAAATAACGAACCTTATGATAGCGCGGATCGCCGTCATTTCCAAGGTGAGCCTAACCTTGGGCCACCCCCTCTCCTTTAACGACTCTCGCGCTTCTCTCGCCTCTCGCGCTTCTCTCGCCTCTCGCGCTTCTCACGCCTCGCACCTTCCAGTATCTTCGCGATGTCCTGGGGCGGCGTGCCGCGCTCCACGATGAGCTGCTTGGGCACGTGCACCTGCGCGCCGTGCTCGGACGCGTCCACGTGGCTAACGGCCGCGAGCATCTCGCGGCGGTCGTCCAGCTTGTGCACGTTCTCGTACTCGTCGATCACCACCACCTCGGGGTGCTGCCGCTCGTACGCCCCTAGATTCGCCGCCCATTCCTCGCCCTGAGACGGGCGCGGAGAGGAGCAAGGGAAGGCGGAAAAGGCGGAGGGTTTAGAGAGGGGGGGAGACGGGAGATTTTGGGAAGAGCGGAGAAGTTGTAGTTGTTTGTGGATGAGGGTGGTTGGGGGGGGGGGGAGGTGAGGGGTGGAATAGAGGGTGCACCACATGAAGATGGTATCAAGAATCCCTACTGCGGTGTGAAGAGCCGGTTACATGCAGTCGGCCTCCTTCAAGCTCGGTACTCACCGATCTTTCGACGCGAACAGCTGTTGAGGACTTTCGACGCGAATGAACGATATATTATTCTTACACCTGGACAGCAAGAAGCTTGTAAAAATACCGTTGGCGTCCCGAGCAGCGCATGAGCTTTAAAGCGTAAAGCTTTGAGCGCTGAGCGCATGAGCTTTGAGGCGTCTCAAAGCTCGATGTGATCGGCGAAAAGAAGCAGCACAGACGAGACGATAAACCAGCTCTTACGTCAAGCTTGTGCAGGATCATGTTGAAAGGCCCCTGATCAACCAACGGACGGCTGGGATCGATCTCCACAAATTCGACACCGCATGCCTGAGCGTGCGCTAGTAGCTCGGGTTGCATGAAACTCGCTACTCTCTTGGGCCGCAGCGCGTATCCAACCACAATTCGCTCGCCCGCCATGCCATTCCCAGCAGCAATCTCCTCTGTCATTATAATGCGTAGTTTCAAAACCAGCTGATTTTCTCAGGTGCAGGGACAAGTGAGTACGCGCTTATTGCGTTTCGACGCCTGTGTCCGCCCGTGCTCGAGAGAGTGACGGGAAGCAGTATACGATGCGGAAAATAAGAGCTGTGTTGGGAAGGCTCTTGAAAGCTTTGTGGCAACGCTCAAGGTTTCCTGCTACAAATTTGGAAAGACATATATAGAATTCTTATTGAAAGTTCAGGATATGTACAGCTTGAGCAAATCCCTTGAAAGCAACAGCCAAGTGAGTCAGCATGGAAGGATAGACAGGCCAGTCAAAGCGCAGGTGATCCCAAGATTCCGCTCATCCAATCCGATCCGACGACGGTGCTGGTAACCAGAGAAGCCGTGGAGGTGGCGCTGACTGCCTGCCCGCCCAGCAGCAGTGCAGGTCCTCCTTCCGTTGCACTGCACGGCACGGCACGCGTCGGGTCGCGGAATTCCCAACCCAACCCGCTTGACTGCCCGCTTCGCTGTGCTGGAACGATCGAACGGTTGCTACTTTCGCGGTGGCAGTCGGTGTGTGCGAGGGAAAAATCTTGCGAAGGAATATATTCCGTATCCACGACGACAAATGAAACGGGTGAGCTGGGGGCATGGGACAGTTCCTGGAAGCGAGCTTCATTGTTCAGTACTGTACGCCACTGTGGGTGTGCCCCCCGGCACTTTGATGGGGCACTCCAATGATCATTCGTTACAAGCGCCATACTAAGGTTAGGTTATATATTTGTAAGGAAATTTCATTTTCCTTACTTCGCGCCCCTGCTTACCGCGTTCACAACTGTTCCCGCCAACAGTAAACCGTTACCACTCGCGACGTTCGCCTCGACTACTGTTCCCGCCACTGTTCACATCGCGACCCAACCTCACGGCTTGGTTGGTTACCCGCGCTCCGGTCCTCCGCCTCGACAATTCCCAACCTCGGCGCCAGGCCCGTCGCGCACCCCACATTTCGCTCGTTACCGTTACCACGCTAGTTCGCTATATAACATTCGCTCATTCCTTCGCTCGGTGTAGTGCTTTTCTTCTATAGTGCAATCTTCGTTCGGTCACTCAACTGCACTCATAACACTTGGTATTCATAGCCATGACCCTTTTTATTGAATTATATTTGCATATCTTATAACTGACTACAACTTGCTGGTGTACTAATTTAGGTATTAGCAACAACTACTGGTGGTGTACCCTTTTGTCTTGCATAGCATCTTGCCTTTCCTATATCTTGTACCCTTGCTTAATATTGAACCCCTATTTGGCCAACCCCTTTTCCTAAACTCTCTCGATATCCATTTCGCCATGCTCCTAGCTTCAACTCCCATCTTGACATGGTTTCAGAGCAGAAACGCCCCTGCATATCTCCTTTCTCATGGTGCGCCCCGTCGAGCTCCCGCTGTGCTCTGCCCGTAGCCCGCCCGTCGCACGTCAGCAACCCGTGGCGAGTACGCCAGCAGCCAACCAGCGCGCAGCCTGCCAGTGCACACCAGCGCGCACAGCAGCGGGTCAGCGCGCACGCAAGGAGCTGCCGCCGGTGCGCACGCCAGCGCGCAGCCCGCCATCGCATGCCAACGCGCACGGCAAACCCCATGAAATGGGCGGGCGCGCGCACCCCGCCGCGCACGCGCGCACCCCGCCGCACCCCTCAAACCCCTTAGGGAGGAATAGCACCTCGTGAAATGGGCGGGCGACTCAGCTGTCAAGGAATCCAGCGCCGAGCCCTGCCACCGCCAGCGCCGAGCCCTGCCACCGCCAGCGCCATGCAACCCTCTGACCACCTCGTAGCCTCCTCGAGGTCCCGCGATCCTCCCGTGCAACCGCGCGCCGAACCTACGCCCCTACGCTCAGCCCGCTGTGGATTGATGAGGGCCTGATTGGAACCATGATCTGCACTCCGCAGTGTGACTTGGCCACATTTTGCTGAGGTGTGCTGCGCCCCAAAGGTTGCTTGCAATGGCTTCCTCGAAGGCAGACCTAATCACACGAAAGCCCGTAGTAAGTGCCAAGCCCGTGAGCCCGTGGTTGATAGTGGTTGGTGCTGTCGTCCTGCTCCTTGTCGTGTTCCTCGCCGCATCGCTCGCCCCGCGCTTCCCTGCGTCTGACTCGTGTAAGCCAGAGCGCCGTGCGAGCGGCTGTGCATGCCAGATTCCTCCGGGGTCCCTGATTTTTGCAGTGTGCCAGTGTTTCCGCGTCGATCGATCCGTATTCTGATCGAGGTTATTGTTGGGTCCCGTTCTTCAAGAACGAAAAGGCAATTGCGGAAAGTTGCACACTTCATGGGGTAGGGTTGTTAGTGGGCGCATATGCATGCGCGGTACGGCCAACTCCAATATCCGAAAAATGTTGCTGTCCCGATCTGACTAGCAAAAGTGAGCTTGAGGATCCTCAACTTCAAGTGTGTGCGCCTGTGGTGACCTTGTTGGTAACACCAGTGAGGTTACCCTCTACCTGCAAGGTAACCCCATCTGATACCTCGAGGTAACCCTCCAGGGGGTAACCAAGAGGTTACTTCGAGGTGAGTTTGTGGTGATTTTTTTGGGGGTCGAGTTTTCTAGAGAAGAGGACGGCTGGGTCACAAATGGGTCAAATTCCTAGTTAAAGGTTCTTGTAGGACACTTCTGGGATACCGAGCCCTTGTCCCGAAGATCCAGGACATAGCATCCAACATGCCACGAACTCGAAATGCCAGGCCAGGCATACTACATCCTTTCCCACATGTGTTTTGTAATTTCACACGTGGATACCTCCACCCCACAAGGCCTCCCATTTCCCCATCTCCTCCACATTTGCCATCATCCCCTCTCAGATCTGTCAGCCGGGGGTCGCGCACTGCTGAGCGACACCACGATAGGTGCCGTGCGCCTATGAGCAGCAGCACGCGCCCCCTTTGCGCTGGACGCCGCTTGGCTCGTGATGGACAACTGCTCGCGGCCCGCGCGCTTCCACATCTGCAGCCACCGGTTCCCAGGACCCGTGCCATGGTTGTGGGTGCAAGGGGCGGTCCGAGATGAGTTCACTCTGACGCATCAAGGTGCGCGGGTGTGCAGGAGAGGCAGGGGAAGGAAGGGGGGGAGGACAGGGAAGGGAGGGAGGGAAGGGAGAGGAAGGACAGGGAAAGGAGGGAGGGAAGTTGTGGGGGAGTTGGAGGGAGGGAAGGGGAGGGAGGGAGAGAGGGACAGGCATGTGGTCACTGGTGTGTGTCACATGCCAAGGTATCACGGTTCTTGTTCCCGTGCCGTCCGCCCCTGGCAGGTGCTTCCGCGCTTCTTTGGCAAGGACACACATGACTCAGGCAAGTAGCTCAAGGCGTGGCAAAACGAGGAGATTGCGGACAACGTGAACCTCGCTCGCGCCCGCAATGCCAGCTTTGGGTCGTACGGGCCGAACGCCACGGCCGCATTCCTGCAGGCCTTTGAGCAGTACCCTGTGAGCGGCAAGTCCGTTCTTGTCATCGGCAGCCATAGGCCGTGGGTGGAGTCCATTTGCCTGACGTTCAATGCAGGCACGATCACAACCGTTGATTTCAACAAGCCCGTGTCATCGCATCCGAAGCTGAGGCTGATGACAGTGGAGGAGCTGGAGGGCACGGACGAGCTGTTTGACGTGGCGGTCTCGTTCTTGTCCCTGGAGCACAACGGGCTGTGCCGCTATGGCGACCCCATCAACCCCTTTGGCGACCTTCAGCGCATGCACAAGGTGAGCGGGTGCACAAGGTGAGCGCATGCACAAGGTGAGCGCGTGCACAAGGTGAGCGTTTGCACAAGGTGAGCGCGTGCACAAGGTGAGCGCGTGCACAAGGCGAGCGCGTGCACAAGGCGAGCGCGTGCACAAGGCGAGCGCGTGCACAAGGCGAGCGCGTGCACAAGTGAGCGCGTGCACAAGGTGAGCGCGTGCACAAGTGAGCGCGTGCACAAGGTGAGCGCGTGCACAAGGTGAGCGCGTGCACAAGGCGAGCGCGTGCACAAGGCGAGCGCATGCACAAGGTGAGCGCATGCACAAGGTGAGCACTGGTTGGTTAGGCTCATCGCATGCACCGTGTGAGGTGGAATAGGAAAATGGCCAGCATGAATGCAGATGCCCAAGCGATGATGTTTGCGAATGTGCAACACATCCGTGACAACAAGTACTCTTTACGCCACCACAACAAACCGCAGCTACCAATTTTTATATTTCCCCTTTTTTCTACAAAACAAGCACGCATGACACATCATGGCAATCTCATATCAGTCCTGTTCCTCTAACGTTTTCCTGTGCCGTCACGTTTTGTGGTGTCCTTGTTAAAAGCATACTAACTGCCTCCTTGATGTTTTCATCGAAGACTGTTACAACAGGGTTTAGGTTTGTACGTGATTGACTCAAAGACTGTAAAACCCTTCAGTCATGGAACCCAGCAGGGCTCATGAATGCTGTTACAGCCACTATAATGTGTGTACTGCGGAGATAACTACTACAACGGGAGCTAGATTACGGACTAGGCACGGGTGCTCGTGTGATCTCTGCATTCGTTGGTCCTTAGTCGTTTTCCTAGTGCATACACTGCTTGCTGGTTCACGGGGCAATTTGGCAAGAGTTTCACTAAGAAAGGTTGACAACAAATGGTACAATCAGGTTGGCAAGACAAGACTACATCAGAGCTAGCATTCAGGTCGGTCGACTGCCAGCGCTGCATGGCCGACCGCATTCCAGCACGACTTGGTCGGCCGCGTTCCAGCAGTGCAAAGTCGACGGCGTGCCAACGCTGCAGGTCGACGGCGTGCCAGCGTTGCTCCCGCAGAACAACAGCGCAC